CGGCACGGAGCGCCCCGCAGAGGTCCGCCCCCTCCCGGGAACCCCTGGGCCTGGCTTGAGGTGCCGCGCAGGGCCTCAGGGGGGCTGCGAAGAGCTGCCGTGCCCCGTGTCCTCCTCCCCCACGGGTGTTTTCCATAACGGGGCGGATCCGGGTATAAAGGAGGGCGCCCCAAATTCCGCTCCACACAGCAGTGAGCCGGCTTTTTCCTCGTGGGGAAAGGAGGTTTGAAAGTTAAATCTTACTGGGCGTCTCTGGGTGCTGGCTGCGTTTGACAGCTTTTGCAGTGCTTACGTGTGTAGTTAGATCAAAGCCCTGGTCCAGCCTTGCATCCCCAGGGAAATCCCTAAGGAGATGGGGGGCAGGGGGTGATGATCCCTCAAGGGGTCTCTCCTGAAGTCCATCAAGCCTTTCCAGGGGCAAGGTGTACCACGCAGCAGGTCTGTGGAAAAAAAAATACCTCTCCTTGGTTTCGAACCTGCCTGCTGCTAGTTCTGTTTGAAGTCCTAACTCTTGTATTTGAAGAAGCACCCCGACCATCTCCCTCATAGCCACATCTGAATTTATAAGCTTTTATCCTATTCCACTCAACTGTGCTCTCCAGCCTGGAAGACTGCAAACTGCTTAGTCTTTCCTTATTTGAGAGCCATTCCCTATCTATAGGTCATCGCCTTCCCCTGAACCTTTCTAAGCTATGTTGTATCTTTTCGGAAATAATGGGCAATGAAAGGGCATACATCTGGGGCTGAAGCTGCAGGTTGCGTGGGTGTGCTCTGAACCTCCAGTTGTGTGGTTTTAGAATTCCCAGGCTGCTTACAATGGTTTTATTCTTTTGACTGCTCTTTTTAACCAAGGAATTGCTTTTCATTTGTGTGTTGTTCCTCTCCCTGAACTAAGCACAATGCTAAGTGGGTTGAACTGAGCGCAGTGATAGTGGGTTTATTGTATTTGTGATTTGAATGCATGTGTTGGGTCCACATGCCTTACAGTTACTGTTGCATAGTAGCGATTCTGCAGTAAGATTTCATACCAGGTCCTATGAACTAGTTAGGGTCAAGCCTTAATTTCTGTTACGTTTTCCCTGACTTCTGAAAGTGTTTGTTAACTGTGGTTAAAAGCACAGATGCGGCATCATGCTTCTGTGTGACAGGGAGAAGTGAAATCTCCTTGGTTTTATTCTTGTTTCTCTGTTTGCCCTCATTACATTGCAGGTATTTTAATATACTTGCCATCCTGTTTAGAAGGATAGTGGTGTCTAACATATTATAACTTTTCTATTTTGCTATGAAATTTCAAACTGTAGAGATTCTGCATCATTTGTTGACATAGTTGTTGTGTTAATTTGTATCATGGGACTAGCTTCCCTTTTATAACACATTTAGGGAACTTCATTGCAGTTCTGTCCTTTGTGTGCAGTATTTTTGACCAAGCGTTTTTGGTTTTGACCGCCTACTGGCTCATGTTTCATGATAGTACTCAGTCACATTTTAAAAATGAGGTAGAAACAAGTCCTGTTGCCAATATGCTGTCAGATCAGTGGTTGGTTTTCCATTAAGAAGTAACCTCAATCATCCTGTGGGATTCTGAGGTTATCATAAAATACCCATTAATGTCATAAAAACATACCTTCATAATGTTAACACTGAAGTCACTTGTAGGGCTCATAAATAACACGTATTTCTACCAGTTTGCAAGTGCCTGCTTAATTATTTTCAGGATTCCAGTTCTTTAGAGAATTCACAAGTGTGGGATTTTTTTAAATACTAGTTTGTTACGCTTCTGAAGAAAAAACTTTCCAAACGTGAGCCATATGGGGTTTTTTTGGTGTGGGTTTTTTTTTTTTTTTTCATGTAATGTAGGCATTGTCGGACAACAGCTCAGAAGCATGATGTGTCACATTGTCTGAAATGTTAAAACTGAATTTTGGTAATTTGGGTTGTAATATGAACTATTGCAGTGGTGTTAGATTTAGTAGAAATATCAAGATAAATTCTTTTGGGCATTAATTCCATTACGGTTTCTTTCTTTCAAAGGCTGCTAATGTTGGGAATAAGGCTTTGAAACTCCTACCCATGAAACTGAAAATTGCCTTTGTATGGGCTCAAAAGTTAAGTCTAAAAAGATAACATTCTTCTAGCATTAAAACTCTAACTGAATCTGAAATATCAAAAAAAGGTATTTTTGAGGTGTTTTGTATGATAAAAGTGACAAATAGCCTCTTATTCAAATAGAATGAAAACCAAACTTTCAGATGTATTTTCTCCAAGTATGTTTAATACAATGAAAATGCAGTATTTCAGTATTCAAATGCCCTTGTTATGGGTGGAATAAACCTCACTGGTGGGGGGTGTTCTCACTTTCCCTCCATTTAAGTTCATGTAAACAAACAAATTTTTAGGAAGTCTCATTTCAGACTGAAGTGTGTATAATCTTTCAAAATACAGGCAACAAATGGGTGGGCAGATACAATTTGGGAAGATAAATTTATTTTATTACCTACAGAGAAAAATAAATAGAGAATAATTACAAAGACTAAAAGCTGCATCCAGGCTGAGCTACAATAGGGACTTTTATAGCTGGGCTTTGCAAAAGGAATTAAAGCAATACCAGGAAATTTCCTGTACCTTTTA